ATGCTCTTCCTCTAAATTTATCTTCCTTTGCCATTTTTCTTGATCTTCTTTATGATCGGTTTTATTTTTTCTGTTTATTAAAGATTAAGCCAGGATTTTCAATGAACAAGAGAGCTTCGCTTCGCGTTTTTGTTTTAACATTGAGGATTTTAGTCGAGTAATTTGTCAACCAAAGCAACTATTGAGCTTAGAAAACAAACATGAAGAATCATTTCTATCAATTTTATGGGACCAGATCATGAACAAGCAAAGCTGTTTTCCCCTTGAGGATGCAAAAAACTGTTTACAAAATATGTTATTTCAATAGCAGAGTGTTAGTTATGTTCTTAGTTAGTTAGTTATGTTCTTAGTTGTTTGGTTATCACAGTTATTCAGTAGATCCTTTAGTGACGACTGTTTGATGAACACACACCTACCTGAATAGACAAGAGCTGTGAAATACAGCATCCCAAACAGAGCAGGTGGAAACATGACAGCACAGTAAAAGGATAAAAGCTAAGTTCACCTCTCGAAGTCAAAACAACTTAGACAAACAGATCTGTCCCTAAACACCAGCAGGTTTATATTTTACTGAAGGTAAGACAAATTTCATAGTACATAACGGATCTTCCTGCAGAATCAGTGACAACAAAGGAAGTAGTCTACCATTTTGGAAGATAAACCCCTTTTTGGACTTCCCTCATCCTGCCGTACTAATTTGGATTTCCTGCATACCGATGATTAATTAAGTGCCTTCCACCCCATATAATGAAGTGGATAGGTTTACTAATGAGCATCTCTCTACTACAATTAGACTGTTCACAGTCCCCTATTATTTCGTGGGATCGTCGAAATATAACGCTTTTTACCGTTAATGGAGGCCATCTTGATTTTCAAATGTTGTGACGGGGCGTGCATCGGGGATTATAGCTGTAGGGGGAGGGGGGCGAGAAAAATAGAGGGACTGGAATAACATAACTGCAACTCGCGTTCACGGAGCGCGTTGACAACCGGTTTAGTTTAGGTTGCCGGCACTGACAAGTTATATTGACAAGTCATCGTTTCTATAAAACCTGCGCCTTCGTAATACTACCATAAGGAACATCCTGAGCCAACACACGAAGGATTTTTGGTATTCGGAGGATGAATCAAGTAAGCCAACATGCTTTTAAAGCAGCCCGGCCAGGGGAATGTTGTAACACAGTTTCTGCCAAACGACCTGAAATTTAACGCTACACCAACGCAAAACTCGAACCCTCTGTAACTCGAACCTTCCGCTAACTCGAAGCAATTTTCATTTCCCTTCAGAACTAGCCTCCCCGCAGACGTCCTTTGGGGTTCGTTCGTCACGCATTCATTTCTCCCTCACGGACCGTGGCGGAGAAATGAATGCGTGACGAACGAACCCCAAAGGACGTCTGTGGGGAGGCTACTTCAGAACATTTTCTATATAATTCTACCTTCGATAACTCGAACTCCCGATAACTCGAAGTTTTTTTCTGTTTCCCTTGAACGTTCGAATTATCGGGAGTCGACTGTAAAGACTTTTCAACTCCAGTTTCTGTATGTGTTTTGTTTATATATCTGAGTTTTAGCGCTAAATAAGATATAGGAAGCCGTTTCTCGCGTTGCTAGGTGATTGCTTCTCTTACTCCTTTTAATAGACGGTCCGAAAACCGGGCTCAAGTTACTTACGGGGCAAGCCAAGGTAAGCCTATTGTTTCTATTGTAGTAGAGAGATGCTTATTAGTAAACCTATCCACTTTAGTATGCAGGAAGTCCAAGGGAAGTCCTAAAAGGGGCTTATCTTCCAAAATAGTAGACTACTAAAGGACTTCCACCCTTGCGTCATAAAACCAGTTGGCCGGGGACGTGGATCGCTACCAACAATATATAGTTTCGCATTTTTTTCTTGTTGACTTCGACATTGATTATGATGCAAGAACAACGTAACAATAAAACAGATTTTATTCCTATATTAGGCTACCACTATACTCAAGAATGCTACATTGAGCAATCTTTTACCCGAAGCGTAATGAACACGATTTGTTGAAGTTATAGGTGTTTTACTATGTAAGTCTTTCTTAGTTGAAAGACTGAGTTACACCAAATGTATAATTTTATCCCGGAGAGTTGGGAGAGTTACTTAAAAAGGACAGAATTTTTCGTCAGAACCGCTATTTCGGTCATTTCACATACAGAATTAACTTTTTGTGTAACTAAAAACATAGAATTAGGTTATGGTTGAAAAAAAGGAAGGAAGGAAGGAAGAATTTGCGAGAAGAAAGAAGAGAAGAGAAGGAAAAAAAATTAACAATTAAGTGCAACGTTAACGTCAAGGAATTCGACGTAATAACTAAAACGCGAACAATAACAATAGGTTAAATGGTAAAGCGACAACTCTTTGCGTGTATTGCACGAAGCAAACAAAACATTGGACGTCTAACACGTAGGTTATTAACTTAGAGGAAATCGAAAGTATCTCAGTAGGGGTTAATTTACACGGACAAGACCTTTTGTTACAGTGCCGGTGAACCAATATCATAGTGAAAAATTGGTCACGGTAAAATAGAGTCAGTCGTGGCATTAAATAAATTAGGAGCTTACTGATCAATATCATGTGTTCACGTCGAATGTCGGGTCATTAACCAGTACATGACCCATAACGTGTGATTTTGGCAGAGAAGATAAATTACTCCTTTGAACTTAGCGATATTGTTCTTGTTGTCGGATAGTGCGGATAAGGTATTTTAATTTCGTGTTCGCGCTCTTCTCAGTTTCGCGGACCCGACTATCACCTCGGAGCCCGCATGGAACAGGCTACCTTCGCAACTGTTGAAAGGTTTTTGAAAAGTTTAATTTCGATTTGCAAGAACTTATGAATATAAGGTTCTTCTCAACTACTCTTGAAATTCTGTTATTTGTTTACATGAAGAAACTACATGAGGGTACACTTTACCGCACTATTACTTTACTAATTGCCTACGGCCAAGTGTTGTTTTCGTAACCGTCAGTTCATAGATTAGCAGCGGCATCAAAACAACGTTAACATTACAGCGCGAACGAAGTTCCCATGAATGAATCCATAGAAATTACGAAATGCATTTTGCATACAATCATCTCAAGCAAAGACAGTTAAAAAATTGGGATCTCGCCAACGATTTACGAAAAACACATGAAAAAAGCTCTGCTATTGTTTTTAGGACTTTTCTTGCATTATCTTTGTTACTTGCAAATTTTAACTCAAAAATTTTGGTTCGTTCAACGTGAACGTAACTCTTAATCTCTCTTTCGGGGAGTTCGGCAGGCGTGAAAAAATGTGGCCATCAAAGGAAACATTTGCCTCGGGTTAATTAGAATAATATATGAAATGCTAGGAAATAACTCAGTCTTACTGATTTCATTTCTGGTGTTCGTTGACGAATTTTGGAAATGGGACCTAAGAGATAATTAACTCCCACTCTTAAACGGATCATTTACGTCATTTTCACCGACTGAAATCATGGTTGATGTATATATAGGCAAAGACGGCTGGTAAAGCAGAATGGTCAGCTCAGAAAGACTACAATAAAAACTCGTGTGTAAGAACCTGCATTTCCTTAAGTTAGGCTGAACAGGTTCTTACATAGATGGGTGATTAGCACAAATATAGGCTATTTAGCTTATTTATACCCTGAAATTTTGTACTTATAACGTGGCACGGGGGGGCACTTTAGGAATTTCTGGGTGGGGATGTGCCACTGGGACCCTGGAACCCTTGACCTATACCAGAGCTAGTTCAGCTGAATTTTGCTACCCTATACTAGAGTAAACTCCCAAAATCCCCCTATCCTAGAGTAGCTGTTTCCCCAGTCTAGATAAAATCTTCAACCAACTGATCAGTTTCCTGAAAAATGATGCCCTGTTCTAGACCCAAACGCTCTGATTTATATACCCTATCCTAGAGTAAACTGCTTGAAAACCATACCCTTCACAGCGGCACATACCTATATAGCCCATATATGGCAGTACCCCCCCGGGCGTGGCACTGATTTAGCGTAAAACTATTTTAATTAGCTTATACTTATTCCTTAAAACTGCAGCATTACATGTAAGGCACCTGTCTTGCGAGAGGATCCTGAATCGTAACTTATTTTATTTGCACAAGTGTACAGAATTTTTTTTATAGATTTTAGAAAATACGAACTTGTTTCAAATTTTTGGCTAAGCAGGTTGTTGTATAGAAGGGGCCGTAACTGACAAATTTTAGCCTAACAGGTTCATAGAGGTTTTTACTCGAGGGTCTTGCTGTATACTTACAAAGACTGCCGTACTAAACCTAGAATTGCACTGACGAATACGACCAGTTTAATTTCATAAAATCAGGGATTGAAATTTCCCCTTAGCGAAAGAGCGTGCCCCGTGCGGACGTCTTCTATTTCCGTCATGAGGTCAAGAAAAAGTGACACGCAGGCTCTTAGTTCAGTTACTCGGAGCATTGTTTTGTTTTCTTTTATAAGGCTCTACTGGAAAACAAGGAAGTGCTCATATGGCTGACATGACTAGACCATTTTTTTTCTATTAAAAAAGCCATAAACTAAAAAAAAAAAAAAAAAAAAAAAAGACTACGTGAGAAGCCGATGAGAAGCGCAGCCTGCGAGAGCATCCGGTTTTTTCGGCTCTAGTTTCTATTTTTCGGAGGGAGAGAAGCGACGACCGGAAAAACGTCGGCGGTTCGCAGGCTATGAGAAGCGGGGCGAGTAAAGCACATGGTTGAGTCAGCATTGCAATTGTCAGCTGTGTTGCTAAACCGCAGGAAAACGAGGCAAAATGTCCTTCTTACATCTAGCAAGATTCAAACTGGTACGGCTGAGTGAAGCGGGGCTGCTGTAAAAGATGAAGGTGTACAAAGGTGACTGAGGGCGAATGGAGATAAATGAAAGGTGCACAAAGGTGGTTAAAGGAAAGTGAAAGATAAAAATAAAGCAGAATTAAAGTGAATTTAGTTGAAAGAAACTAAATGAAAAGGTACGTTAAGGTGGTTCAGGGTTAACGAAACGGAAGAGGACGTGAACGAAGGAGAGTTAAAAGCAAAGGCAAAGGTTAACAAAGGTAAATGAAAATAAATGAGATGAATGAACTGGATAAAAGTAAAAAGAACAGTGAAGGTCATTAGTAAAAGTAGAATAAGGTGAATAACGCCTCAGACAGGCTAAGGAGAAACAGAAGTTCATTAGTTAATACTGAATGAAGGTGAACAAAGGTGATCAAAGGGTAAATCACTTTTAAGCGATTTAAAAATCGCAGGCGATCGAGAAAACCACACGGAAAGCAAGAACAAACCATTTATCTTCTTCAATCTATTTCCTGAAATCCTTCATGTTCAAGGCCATTTGAGGATTACGCAATATGCCCTCGTACCGAGCGCCAGGCCCGGAACAGTACATGGAGGTTTACATGGAGAGCTAACACAAGCTTAGTGACCGGGCCGCAGTGACATCTTGTGGGTCAACCAGCGAATATGTCATTCGAAGTTTTTGCTTTTATTTTAGGGATAATTATCAGCATTGCTTTGATATTTTTCGCAATATGGAACGTAAGTACAAGGACATGTCCTAGCCTTGGTGTTTTCTTGCTTCCAACTCAATTCTTGGTCTCTCCTTTTCCTGTAGATAATAGCTTTTGACGACCTCAGGACTGATTATAAGAACCCCGTGGACCTTTGTAACAGTTTAAATCCGGTGAGTTTATGAACTTATAGATATTTTTATCTCCATCGATCTTTGATTGGTTAGTAACAAACTGTCTACATCAGGTTTTTGCATGAAACGTCTATCATAGAGAGTCATACTTCACTAAAGCATGTAGACGTGTTCTGTTAGTTAATTGGGCCGGGACGTAAACTTACATGTAAGCTTATCTAAGTTGATATTTCTCGCAATATCCTTGCAAAGCTAAAAGTTTTTTTGAAACAGCGTTATTATTATATTTAAGATTCGTTTTGTTTATGGTACATGTATGTATTGAGGGTCATTGGCACTAAACAAACTCGATGTTACACATTTTTTGCTACAACGAACCAGTAAAAGCTTAAGTTTGCTATATATAGCGCATAGTGCATTTATTTATTATATATAAGTTAAAACACCTGCGATGTGTTTTATATTTGAAAAATTATGTAAATTAGGACAAAATCAATAATAATAAGGCTTTTTCAAGCACAATGTAGCAGTTTATATTAAGTTGAACCAACAGTTTATTGTTTATAACAATCTTGTTTTGACAGCTTGTTTTACCAGAATATGGAATCCACTTGTTCATTAGTTTACTTCTCTTGGCTGGGGGACAGTGGACTGCATTTCTTTTTAATCTTCCTTTAATAATCTACAATATTCACAGGTAATAGTAAAAGAAAATTTTAAACATAACAGTTAACAAAAATATTTTGAATCTTGATTAACCAAAAAAATTAATGTACATGTTTTTACAGTTCTTTTTTGCTTCAGTAGACAATAGTCAACTAAAGATGAGACGAGCTGGGCCAGTTACCTTTTATACCACAAGAGCCTCTGTATGGGTCCCTTCGGGTGTTGATCGCATCGTCCGTCTTCCATCAAATCATCAGTTTTTCAGGCAAAATCATGACATCAAGAATTCTTTTGTGTGGCAGTGCTATTAGCAAGCTCAGCACAACTACAATGATGAAGGAAACAAGAAAATATTAAAAGAAAGCAACAGGTTTAATAAACAGAACAAAAACTCTGCACATGCAGCACACTTTTTGGCAGATTTCTCTGCATTTATTACATGAAAAACATTGTCAAACTTGATTGGCAATGCGATCATCTCTTCAACCCTTAAGATTGTCACTGTATTAATAGGGCCCGGAATAGTCGAGACTTCAGTTTTGTCAAAAACACCCATGTAGAGGCTCAGAAGATCTTATTACCTAAAAAATAGTCACCTGATTGTTTATTTCCTTATTTCAGGTATGCTAACAGACCAGTAATGAGTGTTCCAGGTCTTTATGATGCCACAGAGGTTATGAACGCAAGTGAAATGTCTCGCTGCCAGAAGGAAGGATGGGTTAAATTAGCATTCTTTCTCCTTAGCTTTTTTTATTACCTCTACAGGTAAGTGTGAATGTCTAATCATTTCAGCCCTAACTACCAAGGTCCTTGCTCCCCACACCCCTTTAATTTGTTCTTTACCTAATTATCTTCATTCAGGCCCTGTTCTAATAGCCAGGGGTCCAAAATGTCTAGTCCTCTGAAATCCAGGGTACACTGCTGCATTCATGTGTAAGAATGATAATAACAAATTTGCTTGCTGTGTGGCACTCAGGGTTGTCAGAAAGTTTTGAAGTAGCCAGCGGAGTCGTCAAAGTAAGCGGCCAGTCAAGGGATATTTTATTTGAAAAATGCCATCCGTAAGGAAATGCCAGTAGCCATCTGATACTAACCAAGTAGGCGGTGATTTTTGACAGCAGCATGCTACTTTTGACAACCCTGGAAACTCTACTGATGATAATGGAACAACTCTATGCCAAAACATCCCCCGCCCGCTATTTCCTTTTTGGAGGAAATGTTTTTGCTTGGATCCCTTCAATTTGTATGGTGCATGTGCTTATATGTTTTTGCCCCATTTTGTTATAGGATGATGTATGCCATGTTAGTCTGATAGTGTCTCTGGAAGCTACTTCAGTAACTGTTGTATAGCTACAATGGCAGAAAGAACAAAAAAAAAAGCATTTTGCAAGATTTTCATTATTGTTATCTAACTGGACTGTAATGTATGGTACAGCAGGATTTAAGGTTTAATTGTAGTTCATCCTTGAATCTTCTTAGAGAGGACCAAAAGTGTGAAGTTGATACTTTTTGACGGCTGATGAATAATTTATGAAATCAATATTCTAACTAAATGCATTTTGGCAGCTCCCGAAAGGCTTCTGTACATGTCGGATGTTTGAGTTTGTGCTTTTGTATGGACAGAGATCAGATGGCAAATAAAGCCATAATTTAATATAGTACTTGGCACTGATGTAGCCAAACACAAAACCATGTGTATTTCCAAGGAAAGTGGCATTAAAAAAAGGACTAGTTAACATCTACATGTATATAATTGCCACCTTTATTTAATATGTACTTTTGAGCGATACTGTATTATTAGTCATTGTGCTGAACACATCATAATAATATTAAAGCTCTACAGGGGAAAAGAAAACTTAAAGTCACAAAATTAAAATTTGATTTCCAGTAATATTTGGAATAGAACTACGTGTACCAACTGCACAGCCTTCCCCTTACCCAGAGACTAGAGACTGGCTGTAAAAAGTCCAAGTACATCATTTTGCACTACAGTCAGTCAGCAGGAACTGGAAGTCACTGTACACATTGACCATTTTCCTTGCTTACCAAAATTGGGCCTTTTTAAAAAATACTTACATGAACAAAACTCTCTCTTAAAAAATGGCCAAAACTTTGAAGGTGGGAGGGGGGGTAGATAAAGAGCCAAAAGTTTCCTGACGATTTTATGCCCATGAGGCGCTCTACCGAGTATATTATGTATTGTTCTTCAAGTAAACAGTGAAATTAAAATGAAAAGACTTTATTTCCACAGTACTCAATACATTAGTGAATTGTATTAAGAAAATGGTAAGTTCTAAGAAGCAAACTGCAATATATTCATTATACCCAAGTAAAGAAATGATTTTAACTTGCTGAATTTGAGGGCACATTTTATTTTAGACTACAGTGTATGCTTGGATGAGAAATCCCAATTTATTCACAAAGTATAATGCAAAGAAAATGCCTTTATAATTTCTCAACACAGTATAAATTATATTAATATGCTACCTTTACTCATCAAACATCGAGTTTCATTGTAAAAAATAATATTATGAAGAGTGATCAGCAGAGTATTTTCTCTCCTAAAAATAATAACACCACTTAATTAAACACAGCTAAAGGACGGGAGGAAAAAAAAAAGGAAAATGAGAGTGCAAAGTAAAAAAAAAAAAGTTCTTCATCGTTAAACAAAAATTATTCAGTTCTTATCAGAACCACAACGTGTATAATAGTGTGGCGAATATACATGCTGATGATAGTGTTTAAAGATTGGCAGTAGGGAGTTTTAAGATGTCAGTAATTTATGGCGACTGCAAGGTGGATTGCACCACATAATTATGAAACTAAACTCTGGTTAAGCCCCTTTGCAAAACAGTGCCAAAATCCTTGTTCTAGGTACCGACCTGTGTACAAGTATTTGAGTACATTCCACGATTTACCAGTCAAAAAAGACCTTATCGATTTGCCAATCAGGGTGAAAGAAAATCAAAATGCATTTCAGATAATTGACTCCTTTAGGGTACAGAACAAGGATCTCAGCGTTTCTTTGCAAACGTCACTAGCCAAGGTTGAAGTACATCTGCAAATCATGCAGTCTACTGCAAAGAGGATGTTAGAAACAACACTAGGTTTAACCCTTTTAGTCCCCAGAGTGACCAACATTAATTTTCGCCCAGCAATATCAATACATCATCAAGAGAAAAGGTTTAAAGGTAGACTGCGAGCAGCCCCTCTTCAGTCAGTCGAGTCTAAGTTCAGCAGGACTGGAGGGAGCAAAATGGCCAAGCTTCCCCTCAGCTTCTTGTTTTTTTCTTTCGCTCGCTTCACTTGATTTCCTTGCTCATGTGACCATCCTGAGAGACTGCTCGCAGTCTTGTTTAAAAGAGAACTGATAAAACTTATTGCCAAAAAGCAAATGCTAGATCTCTTATCAAATTCTCTCCACATTCTTTAAAGAAAAGTATTGAGATCAGTGTGGAGAATTTGTATGTGGATATTACAGCGGTGATCATATTGGCGTGAACACCTAAAATATGTCTGGAATGTTTATTGTGATGTAACCATTCACAGACGAGATCATCACACCACAGAAACCACAGGGAACGAATGGTTTCCTATCTGTCACGGAAAAAATTATTTTCATTTTGTTTTAACATTCAGTCTTTTTTAGCAAACAATTGCTTTTCCTATTTGTTTACAGTATTTGCTATAATAGCGAAGAATACAGGTTTGAGCAATTTTGAAATAAATTACAAAGCCGATGTGCCGGGCCTACACAAGTGACAGTTTGGGGCGCGAGTTTTCAAACTTTTTGTAACGATCGAAATCGGTAGTTATGCCTGATCGTAGGTAGTAGATAGTAGTTCGAAGGTTCAATCGTTAGTCCACACAAATCGAATCCCCTTGTTCTACAAAAAAATATTAGCAAGGATTGTGCTATCAAAAACGAAAACATCACAATTGTTCATTTTTTATTGTCTTCATGTGACATGTCGTTACATGGAAAGCTGGTCACCCTTGCGTCACGTTGGCTTCCAAAACTTTTCTTTCTAAAATCGAACGATGTACTGGATGCGGTCCTTGACACTGATCTTGGGGAACAGCGATGTTTTAAATTCTTACTGAGGCAGTTTGTATCCTTAAACAAAAGGAAAATAATTTGTTCCCTATGACTGATTGGAAACAGTTCGTTGCCTGTGGTTTCCATGGTGTGAAGATCTCACCTGTGATTGGTTGCAACACAATAAACATTCCAGACATATTTTAGGTGTTCATGCCAATATAATCACTGCTGTAAGGCTTATGATTTGATGCAGCTTGATCTGCATCATTTCCAGTAAATTTCATCCCTTCCCCACTCTTCTTTGAGTGCCTCCCTTGTGAGCTGTATGAACTTACAACATGTACAGAATATTAACAATATCTGGTAATAACTACCAAATTAATATGTAATATAATTCAATTATATCTCAAAACATACACTTATTGTGAATTTAAAGCAAGCCAACTGTTTGAGGAGCATTTCTCTCATAATGGAGGAAAACCTTTGGCAACTAACACCATTATCGCATACTTATAAAAACTTAAGGCTAGCGGAAAAACTTCAGCTTTTGAATCAACCATTCTTCAGACATTTCCTCTTTAGACCTCAACTCAAAAACCTATGATACAAAAATTATTAAATTAGCAATAATTACGGCTTGGTACTGCTGTTTCCCCAAGAAGCAGGAATGGGGGGAGGGAGGGTGGGAAGGGGGGTGGTGGTCACCTTTTTCAGTGTCCCAAACTTTGCAAAAAAATAAGCACAACAAAGATCAAAGATGACAAGAAATCACTTCAACTAGATAGCTTCAAATAGCATCTTTCAGGAAAATCTCCTGGAGCATAAAATAAAAAGGCCATCCTTTCAATATTAAGACAGAATCCACCTGTAAATTGGGTAATTTTAATTGACAAAAACCTGTACAAGGTGTACCAGAATATTTTAAGCCAATAATTGTTGCATTCTTTTTTACACTTTTCAAGGGCTATAGATGTAATTTAACAGTTATCTGTAATAAACACCAAAGACAATTTCTTATAGGAACCTGAGAAAATAAATTTCAAATTTCAAAGGAATTGATAAAACACTGGTAAATTGTCATGCATAAGATTTCATATTTTGTGAAATTGGAAGCTTTTGAAGGTTGTTTTCTTGTGCTCCCATAAGAAGTTTTCCTTCGAGTTTAATTTCACACAACTTATTACATTTATAGCCCTCAAAAAGTGTAATAAAGAATTATAAAATATTCTTGCACAAGGTTTTTGTCCACTGACAACTAAAATACTCAATTTCCTAGGATGGATTCCGTCTTAAAGGCTTTTGGGTTCCATTAACAACTGCGTCGCTGAGTGGAGGTAGGTGCCCGGGATGTCCAGGGGCTTCCACCTATGGCACGGCCAGCCCCTAGACAGAGTTACGCCCCCATGGCTGGCAAACCCGCGCCCTCCAGCCATGAGCCCCCACGCCAATGGAACCAGGCACCCGTCACACTGATAACAGTGGAAGACTTAAGGGGGGGAGGGATGGGGGTAAAAGAATGATCCAAAGGCTAAACGAAGAGAATGGCCGCCACGAAAACACTGTATTGAGCACATGGAGGTGATGCAAGCAAGGCTGACCGCGCTTGAGCCAAACGACCGACCGCTGACCACGCTCGCGCTCCTTGTTGTTAACTCTGTTAAATAAATATTTATTTAACCTCATTTAACAACTGCGTCGCTGAGTGGAGGTAGGTGCCCGGGATGTCCAGGGGCTTCCACCTATGGCACGGCCAGCCCCTAGACAGAGTTACGCCCCCATGGCTGGCAAACCCGCGCCCTCCAGCCATGAGCCCCCACGCCAAGCCGAAGGGACCTCCGAGCTGAATTCCAAGCTCGGAGAGAAGGGGCTCATGGCTAGGAGAAGCCTGAGCCCCAATACACCAAACCCGGAGGCACCCACCTATGTTGAGCATGAAGAAGCATATAAAGGCGAAACAAAACCCAAGTGCCAAACGTGCAACACCAACGCCCCATAAATGCCACAAATGCTGTCAAACGCCACCAACGTCCAACCCAACGCCCCTAAATACTACTAACTCTGTAAACACCACAAGGGTCCAACCCTAATGCCCCATAAACGCTACAAACACGCTGAATGCCACAAAAATGACTGGCCCAAATGCCTCATAAACGCTACAAACACTGTGAACTTGACGAACGTCCATCCCAAGCACTTCCTAAACAATACAAACACCGTAAACGCCACAAAAATGTTCACCGCCAATGCCCCATAAACACTACTAACGCTGTAAACGCCAGACGGGTCCCACCCTAATCCCCCATAAACACTACTAACACTCTAAACGCCACCAAAAGGACCAGCCCGAACGCCTTATAGACGCTACAAATGCTGTGAAAGCCACAAACGTCCAACCCCAACACTCCATAAACAATAAAAAACACTGTAAACGCCACAAGGGTCCCACCCCAATGACCCATAAGCGTTACCAACACTCTAAATGCCACAAAAAGGCGACCAGCCCAAACGCCTCATAAACGCTACAAACGCTGTGGACGCCACAAGGGCCCCACCCCAATGCCCCATAAACGCTACACGAAACGCCACGCCACGCCACGCCACGCCACACAATAATAATAATAATAATAATAATAATAATAATAATAATAAATAAATAAATAAATAAAGTAAACAGACCAGCCTGCATGCCTCATAAACGCTGAAAAGCGCCACAAACGTCCAACCCCAATGCCCAATAAAAACCTACTAACACTGTAAACGCCATAAGGGTCCCACCCCAATGCCCCATGAACGCTAAACGCAACGCCACGCCAAAAAATAAAATAAAATAAATGAATAAAATAAAAAGACCAGCCTGCATCCCTCATGTACACTACAAACGCCGAAAAGCGCCACAACTGTCCAACCCCATTGCCCAAGAAAAAACTACTAACACTGTAAACGCCACAAGGGTCCCGCCCCAAAGCCCCCTAACTGCTGCAACCACTGATAAACGCTGCAAATGCTGTGAACGCCACAAGGGTCCCACCCCAATGCCCCATAAACGCTACACGAAACGCCACGCCACGCCACGCCACACAATAAATAAATAAATAAATAAATAAACAGACCAGCCTGCATGCCTCATAAACGCAACAAACGCTGAAAAGCGCCACAAACGTCCAACCCCAATGCCCAATAAAAACCTACTAACCCTGTAAACGCCACAAGAGTCCCACCCCAATGCCCCATAAATGCTAAACGCAACGCCACGCAAAAATAAATAAATAAATGAATAAAATAAAAAGACCAGCGTGCATCCCTCATAAAAACTACAAACGCTGAAAAGCGCCACAAATGTCCAACCCCAATGCCCAATAAAAAACTACTAACACTGTAAACGCCACAAGGGTCCCGCCCCAAAGCCCCCTAACTGCTGCAAACACTCGAAATGGGCAAAAATATGACCAGCCCAAACGCCTGATAAACGCTGCAAATGCTGTGAACGCCACAAGGGTCCCACCGCAAAGCACCATAAACGCTACCCCTTACGCCACGCCACAAAAAGAATAACTAAATAAATAAAAATAAAAAGACTAGGCTGAACGCCTCAGAAACGTTACAAACGTTGTGAACGCCACAAACTTCTAACCCACAAACACTCCATAAACAATACAAACCCTGTAGACGCCACAAATGTCCAACCCCAATGCCCCATAAACACTACAAACGCGACCAGCCCGAACGCCTCATAATGCCACAAACGTCCAACTCAAACACTCCATAAAACAAAACAACAAGACTATAATATTTTTATAGTACTAGTAAAACTAGTAAAACTATTTACTACAAAAATACTAGAAGGAATGTTAGTGCCTGGGGTATCCAAGGGCCTCCACTGTGGTCAGCCAGCCCCTAGAATCCTCTCCCATGGCTGGCAAATCCCCGCAACCCAGCCATGGCCCCCCTTTCCAGGCACCCGTCACATTGAAGCAAGACGAAACAGTGGAAGGAGGCATAGAGGGTTGCGTGGAGGGGGGACGCAAAAAAAAACAACCGCTTCCAACAGCTTCACGCTGACGCAACCGCCACAAAAACCGCTCAATTTGATACTCCTGGCTGTGACGAAGTAGCCACGTTCCATGTGAGTTTGACCGTTGACAGGCGGAGACTGATAAGCTGGTGGCGGACAACTCAACTGAATGCCAGCTAAACTTGAGCTCGAGGACTGCTTCACCGCTAAGCTCGAGCACCGCTTCACCGCTAAGCTCGAGGACTGCTTCACCACTAAGCTCGAGGACCGCTTCACCGCTAGGCTCGAGGACTGCTTCACCGCTAAGCTCGTGGACCGCTTCACCGCTAAGCTGGTGGACCGCTTCACCGCTAACTCTAGGACTGCTTCACCGGTAAACTCGAGGATTGTTTCACCGCTAAACTCGTGAACCGCTTCACCGCTAAGCTCGAGGACTGTTTCACCGCTAAGCTCGGGGACCGCATCACCTTTAAGCTCGTGAATCGGTTGACCGCTACTAAGTTTGTGGACCGCTGAACTGCCAAGCTCGAGGACTGCTTCACCGCTAAGCTCGTGGACCGCTTCACCGCTAGGCTCGTGGACCGCTTCACCGCTAAGCTCGAGGACTGCTTCGCCGCTAAACTCGAGGACCGCTTCACCGCTAAGCTCGAGGACTGCTTCACCGCTAAGCTTGAGGATCGCTTCACCTTTTGGGCTCGCGAATCGCTTGACCGCACCGCTAAGCTCGTGGACCGGCAGACGGCTAAGCTCATGGACCGCTAGAACGCTAAAATCGTGAGCCGCGTGACCGTTAAGCAAGTAAACGCAAGACCACAGTCATTCCGCGAAAAACACCGCAACCAAGCTGTTGTCGAACTATCCAACCATGAAGTATCAGACAAAACACCCAAGCAAAAACCATGGCCAAACGCAGGGCGTTACAAATCGATAGAAATCGATCATCGAAAACTAATCGATTACTCGATATTACTCGATAATACTCGATAATTGTTAATCGATTAGCTAAAATAATCGATAGAAATCGATAATCACAAGACTTAGACCGAGATTATCGATTTTATCGATTTATCCGGTCGATTGAGGACATTGAAAAAAAAATTATATCAAGTCAATTTAGAATCAAGGAACTTTTTTCTTTCTTACCGAAAACTGAACGTCAAAACCTCTTCCAGTCTTGGCGATAATCTGTGATAACCAGATAACTCATTCGCATTTGAAGCAATTTTTCTGAGTTTTTAGACTCGTAGCTCGGACGAAAACGACAGCACACTGTGTAAGCGGCGTAAGAACACCAGTGGAATTGTTTACGCTGGTAAACGTGGCGTACTGCTACAACAAAAACCATGTTGAATTGAGTCAATCTTGGAATGAATTTCATTTCTGCATAAGCTGAATGTTGCTTTCTGTGCGTTCTATGGCTGATATTTAACATAAATCGGCTTTGGTGAGTTAATCAGCGGATAAACATTGGATTTCCAGGTTTCCGGTTTAAGGTTTGTGGGTAGTACGCGTGGTATGTGATAGCAGATGATGGTGAAAGGTCACGTGATTAAGAGTGAACACGTGAACAAGAAAACTTCCCAGACCACGAACCCACTTCATTCGCAGTGCGATAACAGCACACTGTACAATTAATCCTCTTATTAATGCTCAGTGTTATTCCTTATTCCAACAGGGTTGATGGATGCGATGGACGATAGCACAAAATAAACAGACAAGTTTGTGGTTTTCTATATGAAATCAGTTAAAATTACTTTATTTTTTCATAATTCACGTGTACCAGGTTACAAACTAAATAAAACCAGATAAAACAAGTCACTGGTCACATGTCACTGTGGAGTAGCTCCCGAATCGTCACTGCTTCCCCCCTGATTCTGCGTATACTGCCCCGGCTTGTAAGTTCCCTGCTTTTGTTTCCTGCGATGATTGTTAAACCATACGCTCACCTGGAAGTCACAAAATATAAATGAAATAAATAAGTAAATAAATGTTTGGTCAACTCTCCATGAAGGCTACCTGGATACTTTCTATTCAGCGTCTATTCCTAGCACCAACGCAACTCATTTTGTAATTGCAACGAGCCCGCGCGCAAGAATACCGCATGAACTTAACTCCTACTGTGTCCACGTGGAACCATGCATTAGTCGAGATTAGTCTCTTGTACAAGCAGATCGGTGCTATGGCGCATTATATTTCCTTTTTCTCATGCATTATTTTAAGCATATATCTTTTCGAAGTTACCGACAGTGCCCCTCATAAAGACATACATCAGGTGAACCAAGAATTACAGAAACGTGATTTTCGGCCCCTGACATCCGACAGTGATTTCAAGAACTCGATTACTTGTAATTCATGTGGCTTGACTTTAACCTATGGAGATAGCGCTAAAACGATGTGGCTGGTGAAGCGCCATAGCAAGGAAGAGTCACACAAAATAAAAGCTGGATGGTATTTGGACGACGACAATAATGTTTTGTCAAGTAAACCTAAAGGTAAGGCTAAACAAAGATGTCAAATCGACAACTCAGCTGTAAAGTTTAGCAACGAATTGATCGAAGTTTTCAGTTTGATTTGATCGTTTACCAATTTGTTGCAAAGAAATATTCTAGGCTTACCTGTCGCTCTTCTAGTTTTAGTAACTTGGCCGTTCGCTCTAGTACGCTTCTTTCAGGCAATCCGTTCGATGACTTGAAGACGGAATCTAGCGTGGATAATTCGAGGTCGCTGTATCGTTTAACCGCCTTTTTTGGAGGCTTGTCACTTTCATCAATTTCTTTCCTCCGTGATTTTGACACTAAAATAATTTAAAGCAAAAAATTAATTTAGTCAAGAAACCCTATACTAACCTTTTGTCATTCAATGACTTACAGTGGTCGAGCCTAACCGTCAGCGGTGGTAAAGGTGTCATGCTATAAATATTGTCACCAAGAAGGTGACGAGCAATGATATTTCACTTTATTATAAAAGAATGTAAATACAACAACTATAAATAGATATTTACCTTTCTTGTATTCATCGATCAATGCGGCTTGCTGTTTGGGGTCGTTTAGAAAAGCGTTCAAGGTTACCCATATTGCCCGGCCATGTGTTTTTGGCAGCTCGTTTGGCGCTTTTGTGATGTAGTCTGAGAAAGAACCTTGGGACCTATTCACTACCCTTTTAGCAAAGAATGTTTGGGAAACCCCTTTTGTGAGGAGCCATCTCGAAACTTTTGAAGCGATTTCCCTCGGTAAAAGAATGACATCTTCCGTATTCTTCTTAGCTGCACCGGCTTCTTGATCTGCTTCGTCTGTAATCTCCACGACTTGCGTTTGAGCGTTTGTAGCTTCGGTAGCTTCTGTCGCTTCATTACACGTGCTTTTTCCTGTGTGGAAAAGGTTAAGACCATTCTTGTCTTAAATCGCTCCTAAAATTCAGTGTCAGTTCCACAAGGTCTAAATCTAAATTTTTGCAGTTTAAACTATAATGGAGGAGGCTTAAAAACATCTCAAAACACATAACATTCATGAGTGAAATAAACAAACAACACTGCGTACCATTGGTACCATTCACCGCATTTTCCATTACTTTAATCTCTCCGCAACGCTCTTCAACAAATTTCTTCAAATCAGGCAGTTCTTTTTCTGCTATCTTGACTGACACTTCAACGTATTCTTTATCTTCCATGGTTGAACCAGTTTCAACAAAGATCAAGAAAACCGAGAGAAAACAAACGTTAACACACCCGAGACACGAATTGGCACAAACACCGGCAGTCAGTGAACGTGTGACACGAATTAGCACAAACACCGGCAGTCAGTGAACGTGTGAAAAAGATACTGGGGAGAGAATCTGGCAGTTGATTCCCGCGTTTGGTCAGTTTGAATCCGATCTATTCTTGATACTAAACACGAAGAAAAAGAAGTTTTCAGAATCTAAATAAGTCCAGGAAAAATAAAATATAATTTAATTTACTCAATAAAACAGAACAGGAAATATACTAAAAAAGTTGTATTAGTTCAAATATATCACTATTGTAAGAAAAACCTATATTATTCGAATATTTGACAACTCTCTGCTGTTTTCCTTTAAAAGAGTAGTTGATCTATTGAGTGATCATTCAGTTTATTTTAATATGTTTTTTTAATACTTAACCAACGAATCTGCTCAGCGATATTATGCTGTGAGGGGCGGGCTGTATACACCGTAGCGTATTTAACACACACGCACGAACATCTTTCTTACAGGAAATAAACTGCTGACGAGTTATTTTGGAACCGCCAAACAGAAGTCTTCCCCCAGCCCATCAACATCTCGGAGCGCAAGTGCCAAAACAGTCATGGTTGCAGAAATGGTGTCTTATGCACAAAGAGAAAAGGTATACAGCGTGGGTTCTTTTTTTTTTTTTTTTCATTGTTTTGATTCCGCGTCTTTTTAAGCGATGTTTTAAGGGTTTTCCAACTCAAGTCATCTGACCCAATGTTTAATTGATTTCTATTTTCACAGGCAGTTGCAAATACACACCGAGAAATGAACAGGGCGTTCGGACAGAGGCTGAGTGAAATGATGATGACAGAATCTCCTTTGCGGGATCAGCAAGACAACTCAAAACAACGCGTTTCAGTTGAAGAGATCGTATACAACGAAAAATTTGTATACATGAACCGGCTTTCAGAGGCTAGGATAGAGACTGAAAAATTATTACATTCCTCCGATTTGTCCAAAGTCCAAAAAAGTCGCATATGGAGAGGGAAATCTCAAATATGTTAATGGAAAGTAGAGACAATACCCAGAGGGTCAGGGACTCCTTCCGGTTCCAGTGTCTGTTAGGAGCATCAGAGGAAAATTTTAAAAAGAGCCGTTTAGACATTGCCACCTCTTGTATTCAACATATAGCGGAGAAAGCTTCATTATCAGAATTGTATCGAAAAAAAATTGCTGAACTTAGACTACAGTTATCGGTAAAAGAAGATGTCATTTGCGCATTACAGCATGATCTGAAAAGCAAATGTCTAAAACAGCAGCTGCCAGAAATCGCGCTTCAGCTGGCTGCAGTAGTAGAAAGGAAAGACCAAAAAAATACTGAATTCATTTCGATTGTGTCCGATCTTCTTGCGCACAACATAAATGAGAAAAAATGCTGGAATGACGACACAAAGTCCTTGTTCGCAATTATTCTAGATTATGGAGGACCGGCCTTGCTAAAGATAATCAGGGGAAAAAATTGGCGGGCCGAGTCTGCAGACTGCTTATGCAACAGCCCGACGCAAGGTTCCTATTGCAACTAAACTAACAGAAGATCAGTTTGGAATAGCGGCCTCATTCTATCAACGTGTTGGTTATACGGGACCATTTGTCCTGGCCATAGATGCTACTGCAATTTCACCATGCCTTAGAGTAAGAGGCAATCGAATCGTAGGAATTGCATCTGAAGAGGACATTTTGTACGTACTGCACAAGATATTATCGAGGTGACAAATGACCAAAGTAAGGAAAAGGCGCGGCAAGCTAATGCGTTTGTGTTGACTCCTCTGCAAGAGCACGTTCCTAGTTTTACCCTTGCAATTTCACCAGTAGTTAAGGGGCAAGACTGGGCTTCAGTGAGGAATTGGTTCGTGGACGCATTAAACTGGGGTGCTCAACATAATATGCAGATTCTCGGAATAGGTGCGGATGGAGACTCTAAATTTAGAAGATACTTTCTTGATGAGTTTAGTAAAAGGCATGGCATGGTAGATGAAGTGATTTCGGTATCTCACAAGGGGTTCAGTTTTGTTTCTGTGGTCAAGAATGTTCATGGCCTGAGAATTCCTACTGTTATGTTTCCTGACTGGAAGCACCTAATCAAAAAATGGAGAAACCAGATTCTAAACGTGCGTCGCGTCCTGGTTCTAGGAGATTCGTTTGTCATGATTGAAGATCTAATGAGGTTGTATGAGGCGAACAAATTAAAAAGTGGATTATGGAAAAGTGACATTTTCGTCAGGGACAAACAGAACGTGGCTGCAGCGCTACGAATTTTGCAACCTGAAGTCCGAGAATGCTTGAGCGAGTGGAATAAGGACCGCAGTCAAGCAATTCGAGTTTACCTTAAAGTAGGACATAACATGCTACGTGCATATACAGATGAAAATCTCACTGTGAAAGAACGGTCAAAGCTTGCTTGGTCTTCAGTTTGCTTTGTCAGATTATGGAAAGCTTGGGTAGAGATGTCAAATTATCCAATAGAGTCCTCTTTTATATCCTTACAAACGTACAACGATATAGTGCTTGCGGGACACTCGCTTATATTGTCGAGAAAATTATTTTCGGAGTACTTCCCCGATCAATCTTTTAATCCCTCTACGTTTGGTTCTGACAGTTGTGAAAGACTTTTTGCACGCTGTCGTGGGTTTTGTAAAGGAAAACAAATTTTTGTATGCTGGACATGCTCGACATTTGCGGCAGAATAGCAAAACTCGATGAGCTGAAACTTAAGGAGCCTCCAGTTGTTTCTCGCACATCTTGGCCAGAGTTTGTGGAAGATGAAATCTTGAGCGGCATCAAGGAGGCAGAAAAGAAGTTCTGAAAACCATCGAGGGACTAGGCATGCTGCCACTTTTAGCTGCTGGTAACATATTAAGATTAGATGATTCAGGGGACATACTGTATATCAACCCAGGAATAGAAGCCTTAGCTGATATACGTGACGGTCCTGATGAAAGTGACACTATAACCGTAGAAGAATTGCTAGACGTGGAAAACGATGTTCTATGTTCTGCTGCTGAGACTAACGAACATTGCTATTCCTTTGCGCTATCTGATCTGGCAGCGTCCTCCATCCCAAGGTCAAATGCATTTGACCGAGAAGAAGGAGGAGAGGAAAATGGTGATGTCGATGACGATGATGACCCAAGGCATTGCCATCTTTTCCAGAAGGGTACCTGTAAATACGCAAATCCTGCCTTTAAAGCTCCAAAGACGACTCACTGGATTGGTTGTGATTATCCAGGGTGCGACAACTGGTTCCACGAATCATGCTTAAATCTCAAATTCTCTACAGACTCAGAGAGAGAAACGTATGCCTTTGTTTGTACATCGCATGGGAACGTAAAAGGGATGGAACAATATAAGGACCTAGTTGCTGCGACGGCGTCAGATATTTCCATGATGGAGGAAGACGAGCAGAATGAAGGCACGTTCCACTTGAAGAGACGAAGGAGATTTAATTACGGGGAGAAAACATCAGCAGCTTCACAATGTTCAGTTCCACCCAACTATGTTGAGTATGATGGAGAATTTTATCACATTGCGGAATTTTTGTCTCTTCAGCAGGGAAAAGTGTATAAGCCATCTACTTCTAGAATGGCTAGATGGATGGCTGTCTCAAGGAATGATTTCTACGAACGGGTAGAAAGGCTCGTAGCACCAACTAGATCAGAAAACGGACTATATTTTGAGGATATAGCGGCATTCTGGGTCCCACGTCTCGGTATGAGATGCGGTTTGGTATTGCGGCTGGTGCGTAACACGTTTTCTAAATCCCCTGTTCCTGTCTTTGAGTGGAAGAAAGGAAACGACTCGAAAGAAAAAATATCAGTTTGCTTTCAAGTTCTTTCGATCTTAAAAAAGGAAAATAGCAAGTGGTTGTTATCACCCACAAAAGAAATAATGTGGAGTGAATGCAAAACACATTTGCTAACTTTCGGAAACCTCCAAGGGGAAAGAAAGTGGCCTTTGAAAGTAGACGCGGAGGCGATGGAAATTCTACTGCCAAAGCTGGAAGAGGAAGAAGAAGAGTCTCGGAGGAAGGAGGAGAAACTGAAAGAGTTAGAAAAGGAGAAACGTAAAATGGGGCCACTAGAAGACATGACTGTCTTCCTTCTCAAAGAGGTGTTAGACAGTCTAAATGTGACCTATAGATCCAACGAAAAAAACCAGAACTTATAGCAAAAGTCCGTCAAGCTCGTGAGAACTTACAGGAAGGAGAAACTCACTCAACCTCAAGATATATTGAAAGAAGAAGAGCAGAAAATTCAAAGCCTGCTTAACTTTGAATAATAACATAGCTTGCTTATACTATTACGATGAGAGAAAAGAGAAACTTCTCCAGATCCTTTCTCACCTATTGTTTCTCTTGAAATTGTTGGAGCATATTTGCAATGCATTCTTTTCGTACAAATTGTAACTTTTATTCTCGCGGTCTATTGCCTTTTGTTGTGTCATTCATGTGTAATGACCTTTTTGCTCACTTGATTCATTTACGTCGCGTGTGGATGGAGGTGTTATCTTCTTGGCTGTTCGCTCAAGTTAATTTACAACAAATACTTGGTGAAACAGTTGTTACTTATTAGCGACCTTTAGATTTGACTACGAGTACGAAATTGAGTACGAGTACGACTTTGGAATTTCGATATAATTGTATCCCCCCGAACTATAACTCTTTCCTGTTGCTGACTAACACACAAATAAACGTTAGGGATAATATTGGTGTGATAAGTAGTTATATGATGCGGACGAATTTGGTTTGAAAACTCGTACTCGTACTCAATCTCGTACTCGTAGTCCAATCTAAAGGTCTCTATTTACTCGTCTACGCGTAACAAAGTTGGTTTACCTAAAACTGAACGAGCATCGTTTTTGCGTTTTTTTTCTCTCGTTATCGTTGAGCATGTTTCAATTTTTGAGTCTAGCGACAAGTGCATTATTATTACAGTTTTAAAAACCTTTGTAGTTTGTTTACAGTACATTAAGGCTGATTAAAGGTATTTTATATTATCGACTCAAGGTGTGGGATAAAGAAAGCGTATGTGTTAACTCCAGAGTACAGTACGTTGAAGCCACCGACAAACCGCATGCGGTTTAAGACCGGCTAGGGTTAACTTTACGTCTCGTCCGTCCTTAACTGCCTATACCGGTCTTTTAACTGCTTTCAGTCTTTTATCGTCGTTTCCTTGACAGGAAATATCAAGAACGGGTACTATTTCCCGTTTTTTGGCCTTACGATATCCATTTGCCTTTTGTTCCTTGCTTTTAAGCTCTGTCTTCTTCTTTGTCTGAGTTCCATTGACGAAATCGATATTTTTGATAGAAATCGATAGAAATCGATTAAAATCGAACTATAATTACAGAAATCGATAAAATCGATCAAAATCGATAATCACAAAAACCTCCGCTATCGATTTCTATCGATTTTCGATATTAATCAAGTAATTAGTATCGAAAATTATCGATTACAATCGATTTTATCGAGTATCGAAATTATCGATTTGTAACGCCCCGCCAAACGCCGGGACGAACGTCCCGCCAACATTGTCGCCCCGAATTACGAAGAAACAGCGATTGCACAAAATCCAGGCGTAGCCGAAGACAACGTAGAAAGAAAACGGTTTGACCGCAACAGCAAAGAAAACAGCGAGAATCAGACGGTAAAAGAATGATCCAAAGGCTAAACGAAGAGAATGGCCGCCACGAAAACACTGTATTGAGCACATGGAGGTGATGCAAGCAAGGCTGACCGCGCTTGAGCCAAACGACCGACCGCTGACCACGCTCGCGCTCCTTGTTGTTAACTCTGTTAAATAAATATTTATTTAACCTCATTAAAAATTGGGCAGGAGAAGAAGATGTTAAAATGTATTATTTTAGGGCTTTTTTCTCCAGAGGACGGGGTGGATTTGAGTTCTTGTTTTCTAGATGTTTGATATAATGTGCCCTTTCAGGTACACATACACACAATGTGAAATTTTACATTGTACAGAACAAACACAAAGCATTCATATTTACCTTTGTTGCCCCTAGCTTTTTAACAAGGTTTGTCTTTGAACCAGCATACATCATCTGCAGCTCAGGTTTAGTCCCTAAATTTGAAACATTGACTCATTTATCATAAACTGATATTCACAAAGATAAAACCTTCCATCCATGTCTGTGGACTAGTTCACTTCAGAGGGTAGACAAGGCCATACAATAAAACTTGGAAATGTACATTAATTCCCAATGTACTCTTATTAGGCACTTAAAATCAAACAAGGCTGCATATATAAATCAGCCGCTTGGAACTATTCGCTGCAACAAGGCATGACAAAAATGCTGTTCAACAAGCCCATGGCTGAGCATATTTATACTACCTTGAGTTGACCAATGGGAAAGTGGTATAAATTGGCCCATACGAGTAATAATGCTATCAAAAAATCAATACATGTTTAATAGGCACTAATAAATATTATGTTGAAAAGAAGAGGGAATTTTCCAGCAAATTGAGAGTTCTGAACCTGCTGACCTCAACAAACTGTTATAAAATATTCAATCATTCAGACAGCTTTGTATGATATTGTGAGAAATGTCAAATGAATGTAAATAATTTTGATACTTTTTGAAAAATACACATGTGCCAAAAAAATCCATATTGAACTTTAAGTTGTATGATTACCTATACTAATCAACATAGCTCAGTAACCTGTTCTTACCCTGAGGGCTGATGAAAATGAAAACCAGTGGGTACGATACTCTGCCATCATCATGCTTAAGAACATAACTGTACAATACATAGCTGAAGAAGATGATTAAGGAATCAAACAGACATGTAAACAAACACCATACACTGCATGAGGTAAAATTGAAGCCATGTTTTACTCTGCATGCAGCGGAATTTAGGAACAATAGCACCAGGAAGGTGAAATGAGGCCAAACTGTCAACCCCCCCCCCACCCCCACCCCCCAAAAAAGAAAGAGTTTGACAGCCCAGAACCTGACAATTTCTGCTGTCCATGAAAAAACCTTTTATGAACAAATTGCTAAGTCTCCCAACCTGCATTTGCATGTAAAGGTTAGATCTATCTGTATCAAATACATTAGCGTACGGGGCGGGGGGGCTGGGGGGGTTGCAGCCCCCCCTGTCGGAAAAAAAATGGTATTATTCGGGCAAAACTGATGTACTGTTCGGGCAAAGACACGGTAAAAAATATTTTATTATTTAATATCTTGATTTATTTGTCTTCATCCCGCATCCCGCAAAATGGTCTCCATGACATTTTACCTGTTCTATATAAAGTTACCTCCATCCTGGTGTCGAAGTAATCGTTCTTCACACTTCTTTTAGAGCCCAAATGGGTACGTTTTATCTCTCACTTCATGGTTTTGTATTTTAGAAATGTTCATCTCGATTTACCGAAAATATTTGCACTACTTTGAACGCCCGTGCTCTCACGGCATGGCGAAGAAAACTTGACGTCACGAAAGAATCATCTTGTGCACCTGTGACCAACAAGTTTCATTCGGGCAAATTATGTTCAGCCCCCACAACAAAATTTTTACCGAATGCCGATGATCAAATAAAATGGATTACAGTACTGTTATTTGACATTAAAGTGAAGGTTACCTTGGATTTTGCCTTATGTACATCATGATCAACCCACTCAAAAAGTCAGTGTATTTTAATCCTACCCAAGTTATAGTCACTGAAAAAATTTCTAAACCTAGAAAGTCCTTTGGATCCCAAAAATGTCCAACCTAAAAAGGGCTTTGCAACCCCCTCCCTTAAAGCTGACAGTCTACACTGGGAACTAAGTAAGTATTGCTACTCACAATTCAAGCTGCCTTATTTTGGTTGCTATGGCAAATATCTAAAAAAAAATGGCAACTTAATATCACATTATTTTCGTCATTTGCAAGAAATTTTTATAATATATTTTGTCTCTTTGGCTTGAAATTTGTCTGGGTAAAAAAATTCATATATAAAGCCTTGAGATGTGATCGCATGCACCTCCAAATTCCACCGCGCTAAATGCAGGGAAGCCATGTTCATTATTTCGAACCCTCCATAAAATAATATTATTAACACAACTCAAGAACACTTTCTTCCCTCTGGCAACCAAAATTTGTAATATCTGGTGACCATTTTATTTAGGTTGTCAAAAGGTGACTTTGAAAAATGTTTAGCTTGGAGCACTCCTTGTAAGCACTTTAAAACAAATTTAAAGCTATACTTTTGATACTGACACACTTTGTGTTCAATGAGACTCTATATGGTACTATAGTGACTTAAATTTACTGAAAGTGGTTGTAATCAATTAAATCATGGAAAAGTGAACAGCAAAACTTTGCTTTATCACGCAATAGCCATGAAAGAATTATCAAAAAAGTGTAACCATTTTTCAAGGACTTTTCAAGGGTTGCATTAGATTTTCAAGGACCACCTACTACAGTGTAGGAATATATTTTCACAGATTATACAAAAGCGCACATTCCCAGTATAAATTATTCTTATAAGGCTCTAGGGCTTGAACTGTCTGCTTCACCAACTTCTCTACATTTTTCAGTTCACTTGTCTTAAATTGATAGTTAATTATTGTGCAGATGCACTAAACATTGAGCACTTTGTCTAAATAACCTTTAAATTCTCTGGGTTATGATTCATAATTATTCTGTCTTAGACAACCAAAAATCATCAAAAAACACTTTCCAATTTGCCACTGAATTTAAAGTTGAAGAAAATTCAAGAACGTTTTAAGGACTTGCTCAGAAATTTAAGGACTTTTTAAGGAAAAATAGAATTTAAGGTCTTTTTAAGGACTTCCCCTAAAATTCAAGAACTTTTCAAGAATAGTCATCACGGTACAAAAAACATAAAATTTGGCAGCGAGCAGCAACAGTAGGCCTTAAGATCAGATGTCATAGCCAGATCAAAATTTGATTGTGAACGTTTTTTCCCCCTCACATTTTATGCCTGGCAACCATATGCATTTTATTAGTTGAGGCAACAAGTTGATGTCAAAAACCTGTATTAGTATAGTAGAAAGATTAAGAATAATAATTTTAATATTGTTGTCATGACCTCTGATCTGCTTTGAAAACTACTTAAGACTTAGAATAAATAACACAAGGATACCGTGGTAGATGGTCAGGTAACTCTTCTGTCAGATCCTCCACAGATATATCCTGTAATAAAACAAAAACTGACACAATAAATCAAGTACTTTTTCTCTACACCTACACATAAATCAAGTACTTTTTCTCTGCACCTGTTTGATAAGCGTACGTTGATCACTATAATTAATTATCTCGTATTCAGTAAATTATTGTATTGTTCATCAGTATGGGCTAATACCACTAAGAAAAACATCGAGCTATCACAAACAGTGCAAAATTTTGCAGCCTGGATAGTTTCTGGAATGAGGAAATTTGATCATGTTACACCTATGCTTAAGCAGTTACAATGGCTACCAAATTATTAAACAACTTGTGGTTAGAGATGCTACCCTGGTATTTTAATGTTTAAATGGACTTGCACCTCCATATCTTTGTCAGAAGTTTAAAACCAGATTGGAAGTGCACAACTGCAACACTAGGAATAGGGACCGACTACATATACCCCTCTGTAAGACGGCTGCAGGTCAGCGCGCGTTTACCTTCAGAGGCCAAAAGCTGTGGAACAGTCTCCCAGACGAGTTTCAGTCTATCACTAATTTAGATGTATTTAAAGTAAAAATAAAACAGCATTTTTAAGGGTATTTTTGGAAAACTAAGTTTTAGATATTTGACATATTTGTAAAGCTGAAAAGCCTTTTTGAGGAGATTAATAAAGTTATTATTATTATTATTATTATTATTATTATTACATAAGCAACAACAAGGTTTAAAGATTTCTCTTGACTCAACATTCTCTGAAGTCAGTTTAACACCCTTCCCACCAAGTTTCAAGTCTTTTTTTAATCGTGGGGTTACATCATATTCAGTTACATGTACAGTAAATGGGGGAGTTGACAGGGTATCTGACTAGAAAAACCACCGACCAGGAAATTTTACACAAAATACAGATTCTAATTCACTTTCAAAAATAAGGCTACACATGCACTTGCAGAACACAAATAGGACAGAAAAAACGAAAACAGAAATGGACAAACTTCATAATCACAAAGAAATCTAATTTTGTCATAAGAAGACTACCAACACTTGCTTTTACATTCTTCCACTAGGAAGGATGTAGCTGCAGTAGTCAATCTTTATCAGAATAAAGACCTTCTGCTGTCAGAAAATAAAATTCTACAGAACATTAATTTTCTGGGTTCTAAAGATGGAATCAAAATGATGTCACAAACATAATATTAAATTTTGGACAATTTTAGCACTGACATAGCTTAATGGGGTCTTATGGGGATCCTAAAAATAATGATCGAGTGTTCTGTGGACAAATCACCACAGATCTTAAAGGTGAAAACAATAACATTGAAAATTGGGCTAGGCTTCCTTGACAACGTTTCTGATCACTGCCAATCATGAATTAAAATAAGGAAAAACTTGCTTTACCTCGAGTTCCTCATCCAAAATAACAAGCTGCTTATCCGCATCAATCTTCACTAGAAAAGAATTAAGAAAAATTGCAATATCTAAATGTAAGACATAACAGTTTCAGTATTAAAATTAATAGACCTTATAGAAACAAAAGAGCTGTCTTTTCTACCAGTTAGTCCTTTATCAGAGTCAAAAACAAAAGTACAATAATTATTTAATAATTATTCTGCAGTGTATTTACTTAATTTGATGAAGGGCTGATACTTAAATGCAACAAAAATAATTAAGGGCTTGTGTACACTGTTAGTGTCAGTTCTTTCTACAGTTCCCCTTTGTTAAACATTTGTTGTACTATTAAACATGTGACATTCCTCTCATGAGGTACTCAGCTCTGAGGCATTGGTTGCCTCTTGTGTTATATGCCAAGTGATAAAATGATTTTGTTGACAAATAAAACCAACATGAACAAGCCCTATGGCTGAAAGGCCACAATATCAATACATAATAAAAAGAAAAGTTTATGCAAATTCATCATGATCACCTAACGAAAATGATTTGATCTTTAAACAACTTCTCTTCACTAATTCCTCAAGAAATGTATTGAGATTAGTCTGGTCTGGAGAATTTGTGTGTGGACACTAGGGCTTAAGCAAAAGTTGCATGCAAAATCAGTGGTAATCGCTTCATTTTCATGGCAGACTATACTTTAGACAATTCTCTGATTTGAACAACGTACATGAAGTAAGGTCTACACCTGTCCAACCCTACCCTAGATCTTATTGTAATTTCCTCTTGCATGCCACAGACTTACTGATAATTGCAGCTAAAGTTTTTTCTTTACGAAACCTGAGTTTCCCTGCCTTCTCTATAACTTCAGGGTCAACATCACAAATGTTTAACTCGTCACTCTGGTGAAGGAAAAAAGTCAGTGAAGTCTTAAAGTCAGTGTTCACTAGAGCTTTGTTTGAAAAGGTCCAATGAAACAATGACTAGTAAGAGATAATTGTTGTTGAGATTCTATCTGGGAATATTTTCTTTGTGCCTGTCCACAGATTGCAATCAGAAGTCACTGTCACAACTGCAGCATTATAAGAGCAATTGACAAGAATGTATGTTTATTCCTGTGCTTTTCAATAACGTATAAATTCTGAATTTTAAAAGCTAGCTAACAAGATTACGTTTTTTCCTGCTGTCAATTATAATTATGAATAAAAGCAAATATGAAAATTGAAAGACAGAAACACGCAAATGGATTGAAATCCAGTAACCAATCACAATAAATCACAGACCATGAACTTTTGAAATTGTTGAAGCAAACTTCTGTTTCCTTTGCAAAGAACGTCAGAGTTTGCATGCTTTTTATTATGGTGGAAGATGTCTGCATGTAGAGTTTCGAATCTCTACAGAAATACATGCATGCCCAAAGCAAGTGACATGCCGGTTGCAAGACAGGTAAATATATAATATGCTTCAGCTATCAAAATGTTTATACTAAAGAAATCTTGGTTGGAAAAGTCAGCCAAACAGGAACTCCATGTAATCTTTTCTTCTGTAGTGGCGGATCCGGAGGAGAGGCCTGGACGGGCCCTGCCCACCTCCCCCCCTTATTTTTAGACCATAACGAGGCCTGAAGGGCCGAAAAATTTTTTTTTGAGACCGGACACCCCTTTATCTCGGGGTCTGGACAACCGGGCCCCCTCCTTATCTGAAGGTCTGGATCTCCACTGTTCAGAGATCTCTTTCGTCAAGTTAGGCATATTCAACAAAACCTGGACGAGGCTGGATCAGTAACTTAGAAAATGATAAAAACGTTATGGATAGGATTAACCCTTTGACATGTTTCACTCCAATCCAAATGCGCGAAAAAGATGTTGTTGGCATTGTAACATTTGACCTGGCCCCAGTTGTTGAAAAGGTGGATAGCGCTATCCACCGGATAAATCTCTATTCACTGGATAGCGCAATTGGTTTCCCTAATTATCCACTGGATGGTGATTTATCCGGTGGATAGCGCTATCCAGCTTTGGAACAACTTGGGCCAGATCAGTTTACTTCCCACCAATCACATTATTGCCTATATAACAATAGCATACCGGAGTTTATGAGGAAATGTTTTATGCCAACAGTTAAATAGCTAAAACAATGCAAGATATTGGAAATTTTATTGTTGGAAAGTCAAGCCTACAGTCAATGGCAAACTTCACCAATCAGCCTTGTGAGATTTCAGACTCTAATCTGGAGACCAAAAGATACGGTCCATGAATCTGGAGTATCCCGGATTATCCAGGAGAATTGACAGCCCGGAATAGTACCAACTCAGCAAGCCCCCCTCCCCCCCATCCCCACCCCGCAGAAAAAGCACATTACTTTCGTTTTTTTCTCATTCCCCTCAAAATACTCCAAAAATAAAAGGTGGCGACACAGCCACCCACCCTAGAAACAACTTTCAAATCCTTGGAATATTAACTGGAATGGCCCTAGGTATAGGGCTTGAAGGTATGTTATGACAAACACATGTAAACTGTTTCTTGTCAAAAAAAATTCCTTCCAGTCTAATTAAAAAACACTTTAGGGTTTCTGCGGAAGAATCTTTAAAACCACAACCATCCATAAAAATCGAAAGTTATCAATCTGAGAACTGATTAAAATCAACGCTTTTAATCTTATTTATTATCAATTTTCCTATAACAATCGATTCTAAGATTGACATCGAAATAATCGATAATTTGACTTCATAGTTTGGGAACGCTTGCGTTGAGTTGCTTTGAACTAGCCAAGGCATACTTTTACAAATACGCTGACGAATGCCGATTTTACAAGGCAAATGTGGCCATTATACCTCAAACAAAGACAAACAAAAACCCATTCACTACAAATTAGATTTTTAAGCAGCTATTTTCCCGATAAAATAAGGATTGGCCCACTTACCATCTTGCGATTTTCATTGATCCTGGTTCCGGCCGGACTGCGGCTATGTGACCACGCAAAAAGTGTAGTTGGGTAAGACTGGGCGAAATATGCGAATGAGCGCCCACCCCCGAATTAGCGCCCACCGCGAATCAGCGCCCATCCTAAAGGGCAGAAAAAGTTAATAAGCGCCCAGCCTAGAATAAGCAAACACCCCCAACCCCTTTCCCCTCGCACCCCCCAAACATTGAATAAGTACTAACAATGGTACTAATAAGAGACTTCCTGGAAGACGGAGTTTTCTTCAGAGTATTTTACAGAAACCTTGCTTTGTTACATCTTCGCGTTTTGTTTCACTATTTATTGTTTTATTGCGAAATAAACATACTACACTTGCTGAAAATGTTGAAAATTTAATAAGCGCCCAGCCTCGAATAAGCGCCCACTCTCAAGGTCCAAAAATGTAATAAGCGCCCAGGGCGGTTAATCGAGTAAATACGGTATAAGTCCGTATGGCGTGCAAAGAGTTTCCCCAGATGCGACTTATTAGGGACTGTACGTTTATTACGTCCCAGCGGGGGTGGGGGAGGGGGTTCAGAAAAAAAAGTGTAAAAGTGTGGTGTATCAAAACTGTACCCCACCAAAATAATTACATATGAAAATTGTACCCCCCCTCTTGACAATAACAAATTTTTAAAATGTACCCCCCCATCCCCCATTCCAACCCCTTCTAGACTAAGTCTCTTCTTCCATCCTTGGGCATTGATTTCATAAACTATAAGATGCTGGTAGTTGGCAGTGTAGCATGAGATTTTCAAGGTGCACGCAGGGGAAGAAAAGTTAGCGGGCCCAAGGCGCCCCAAACAAGGGGGCGGCTGGGGCATGCTCCCCAGAAATTTTTCAAATTTCGGGTCTGGGAAATGAAATGCCATCTCTTGCGTTTTCTGCAGGCCATTTTCGGTAAATAAAGACGATCGGTAAGGTACAGACTGTTTCCGGCAAAAGTAAAACAGTGGGGCCATCAAGGACGTAAGCGGGCGAGATGTGCACCCTTCAGATCGGGAAAATCTGTTATAACGCCATCAATATCAATTACGTCCTTCTGCTTGTGTATGTGCAGAGTTGCAAGAGAGCTCAATCTCCCGTCTGTCATGGTCCTTCGTAAAGTAGTTTGCAGTCTCTTCATACCGCTGAAGGTACGCTCAGCTTTGCATGTTGACAGGATAAGTCAACAAAGTTATGAGAGCTACATTATACTCCGGAATAGAATTGTAGTTGGCTTGTTCAAAAGTCTCAACCAAGGTCTGTGGCTTCACATCCTGCATTCGGATCCATTTCACTCCACTTAATCAGTAAAAGGATAGAGGAAATCCTAACACAAAAACACCAAATGTGGAATATTTATCCCACTTTAATGATAAAAATGCTTTTAGGAAATAAAAAAAATCTATCTATTTTTTTTCCAGATTTCAGCTGTATGCATGGGCATATGTGCCTACATTCATGCTACATTCCTGGTAGTAGATTTAGCTGATAGGTTTCTGGGCCAAGCTTTGTACGGGTAACATTTTGTTGTTGGCAAAGAACCAGTAGTTTGACAACTTTTACTTAGAAGGCCAGCCCTTTGTCTTAATATTTCGACCCCCTCACGTTTTGTTCCTTTTCAAAATTGACCCCCAAAATCAAGCCTCTTAGAAAATTGCACCCCCCTCCAAAAACCTCTGCTCACGCCTGGGACGTAATAAACGTACGGTCCCTTACATGTAACAACCGAAAAACTTTGCTGACTTCCCAGAGGCCAAAAATAACAACCGAAAGTTCTTATATATTTTCCCTCTTTCGGTACTCACATGCAAGTTTGAGCTTATTCCTTAGACACTATGAATTAACTTCTCCTATTTTCTAATCAACCAATCGAAATCCAAGATATCGATCGACCTTAAAGTAACTAGAAAACCTGCCAGACCGGTTAAATCAGTTAAAAATAGCACGTCGTCCCTAGGCCTCATTAGAGACCTTTAGATTCTAAGACGAGTACGACTAGGAGTACGCGCGGTTTTGCTCAATACTGAGTCATGTGGCCACGCGTGAACCAGGGTCATTTTGGCGGCAAAACGGGATAGTCGTCGTCATTCTACCTTGAGTTTTAGCGAGAATGTTGAGTTATGGGACAAAAGTTCTAGAGTGTTATAGGTTTTATTTTTTCGGCTGGGAGATAGCTTAACCTCCTCCAATCAAGATAACAGTGCTAAGTCAAAAAGATGTACAATGAGCTATCCGGGGTGTCTATTATTTGAGAATACGCACGAAAAAAACTTTAAGTTAAATCTCGTACTCGTAGTCGTTCTCGTCCTAGAATCTGAAAGTCTCTATTATTACGAGTGGCCAAAGCGTCGGGCCACGTGGTCCAAGCGAAAATTAGCCTCGGATACGTCACCGAAGTGAATTGACCGAGAGGGACTGGGAAAACGCCGTACAAGGAGACTAGGCAAATTTCTCCGCATGATAAAGACAAAAAGCCATGACATCATCCATGTCAAACCGGTTGAACCAGCCAAAAATAGCAGATGACCTGATTCCTCCACATTGTATTCATGAGATAAAGACAAAAGGCTATGACGTCATCGGCGTTAATGTACCCCCTGCAAGGTCCTGTTAATGAGATTCCCTCTTAAAAACGGAGATGCCGGTCCCTATACCACTACTATGTTGGCCTTTATAATAATAATAAATAATGAATTTATAAATTTGGCCTTCCAGAATCTTGAATTCAGGCGTGATTTCGGCATTGTAAAAAATTAAATTCAGGTTAATATTGTTAGTTTTTTTGAATAGCTTATTAGTGTCGATAATTTACTTTCAAGTAATGCGCATTTGATCATATCTACATGTGTTTTGCGCAATATAAATATTAAATTATTATTATTTTTATTATTATTATTATTATTATTATTATTATTATTATTATTACCACTTAGATCATCGATAGACTTGATCAGTTCGTCACCTAATCACGTGATTAGTAAAATAACTCCAAAAGGTAACGTGATACGTGAATATACGGAAATTTAACCCGCGACTAGAGATTGAAGCACCCCCTTCCAGGCCCAGTTCCTTGGACACCTTTGAAGGAACTACTTTTCAAGTTCAATTCGGTGAGCTTTGAAAAGGAATGAACGCTTCCCTGGTGAATGTCATGTCGGCATAGAGGGCTGCTAGCAATATGCACTGATTTTTGTCCATTTCAGGTACTCTGGCCATTCCAACGACATCACTGCATTATCTGACTAATACTACACGTCAACTCTCAGTGCAATTTAAACGTCTGATATGACCATGGCAATCAAATTACAATTCTCACAAAGAGATCGGTACCGTGTTTTAATTGAAATTCATTTAACGCCTAGTATTTTCCTCACGAAATTGTCAATATGAGATTATAGATGTCTTGCTGATTATTAATCTGTTCCAATCTTTAGTAAGACCCTTTAGGCGCTTGGTGGGTCATGCGGCGATAACATAAACTTTCAATGTTACAACAAAACTTAATAATAGCAAATTTCTGCCTCAATTTCACCTTAACCGGCAACAGATGTCAAGTTCATGTTATATAATGCTTCGCTGAAATGGTGACAAAAACTGTTGGAAGCCGATCATTTAACGCCCTGAAAAACTGACCTTTGGGCTATATGAGAAAGAAAGCTTGGTTTCCTCCACTTTTAATTATTATGCTAAATTGCACTTTCAAAGAAAAGAAGGAACTGTGAGATGACAATTCCACCCTTGAATTTTTTTGACCCTCTGTTTTGTCAATACACCTGCCATGTATTCATTGCATGTTTGCTACTGCATGACGTCACATTGGCCATGTTGGTTGGTAAGAAAAGTTTCCCTCTGCTGGGAACTAAATTCTACTTTCATCCAAATTCTGCAAAAAAGTACATATATATTTTTATTTTTACGTGGTAGCAAACCTAGAGATCGAGAGTGACTAATAAAACAGGGAAGAGTTTTTTTAGGAGACCACATCTTTCTGTTTAGAAATTTGTGACGGAATATTCATATCAGGTAAACATGAATCGAGACTATTGCTTATTTCGCACACTCACAACTTCCTCCGTGAAATTTAGAGATAATCATTTTAAGATGAATTAATCAAACTGTACTATTGTTGGCATCATTGCTTTCATCTACACTTAAAGTTAACAAAGGTATATCATTTTTAGCGACATTCTTGGTATCTTAGAAATGCATTCACGCGCAAAAAGGACTGACTCTCAGACGATAATAAAAGAATATAAATCAGGGGAAATAAAATTAAAAGGGGGACTCTTATGTCGAAACCATCATGTTCTCTGTTGGAGGTTCAGAGGCTGCTTTTTGCGTGCTAAGTAAGACAAGTATAGTTGCATAGCAACTGATTGTTGAGAGAAATAATGAATTTCCTCATACGAGCATGTGGCAATGGATTTGAGTGATGGAAAGCTTGGCATGCGTGCTTCACAGGAAAGCAGTTGTAACATGCCGCCTCACTCGAAGTCGGTGAAAAAGTTATGATTTTGTAACTGTTTTCGATTTAGGATTGTCATCGCAGAACTATAAAGGATAGGAAGGTGAGTGCAAATTCAGCTCAAAGGTGCATGCATTGCTTTCTTAAGGGAAACCTCTCGTTATATTATATGATAATTGTCTGGAGGTTTTGTGCTCACGTTAAAACCGCAAACTAGCTGTTATTGTAATGGATACTATTAAAACCCTATTCCCTTCCTTTAAATTTAATATATATTCAGTTTAAATGACAAAGCTTGAAATCATTGTTTCTGAGCTGGACCAAATCTTCCTCAGAAGGCCTTTGTTAAAGTTGTGATCACATTCAGGGCTAATTGTATGGAAATTTATGATATAATTTCCTTTTTTTTTGGCACCTTTACACATGATAATAAGCCAATTCTTGCTGTAAGCATGTTGCTTTCCTTTCCTTATGAACGCAGGTTCGTTTTTACGACAACGCATACCACGCGGGTACTAAATTGAGGGCTCTAGGTTACGTTCTTAATGA